TACTTCTCTGGGGTAAATAAGGCATTACCACAGAGGTCACTGGAAGCCAACAAAGGAATCCGTTCTGGCTCTCCAACATCAGCATCCTTCCCGCAGCGAGGAGAAAGTTTTCACAAAATGATCAAGGGACCATTCTCACACCTTGGTTGTGATCTCTCTCGTTGAAGTAGTTTTTCATAGCTTTCAAAATCCCCTCTCAAATAACATTTCATTCTCTCCAACTCACAAACACTCGAAAGATCTTACAACAGCTTTTAGCGTAGTGACAGCCATCACGAATCATTCGGTAACTTGAGTGGCACAATGTACAAAGGCATTTGTTTTTAGACCCTAAGACTTGATCAGGGTTGATTGTTGGGTGGATGCTGATTTCGCGGGGTTGTATGGATATGAGGATGATCAGATCTGTATCCGTCAAGTCTCGCACTGGTTTTGTTTGATTTTGTTTGGGTGCCCTATCATTTGGTCCAGCAACTGCAGACTGACATTACTTTGAGCTCACTGCTGCTGAGTATGTTGCCTTCAGCATGTCAATGGGGAGCTGCTTCCTATGCGAGCCTTGCTCAAAGAAATTGGTAACAAACTGATATGCCGTAATTACTGACAGTCTCGTGCGTCTACAGTGTTCGAAGACAACCAAGGTTGCCTGTCTCTTGTGAATGTCCCCAAGATGTCAGCCGCAACAAGTATTGGCATTAAGTACCACTCTTTAGGTCAAATATCGGGAAGTCAAAGGGCATCGTGGCCAAGTAACTTCCGACTCTAACAACGGGCCGACATCTACACTAAGGGTCTTCCGGCTCCACAGTTTGGCATTGAACTCCTCATGGGGTTGTAATTTACCTCAGCACTTTGCTGGGGACTCTCTCCTATCGTTTCTTGCGACAGCTTCATTTCAGCTGTAAGGAGTGCGACGGGATACAGCTTACAATTCAGCTTTACAGCTTTACTATTTGCAGGCTTATTCTAGAAAATAATCAATAACTGCTCACTTATTTGGAAATACAAACTTTACATCTCTTAGAACGTTAGACTAGTCAGTACACAATGGTATTGTCGCACTTCGCAATTCATCTTTAGGCTGCTTGCCAGTTTTCTCTTTAGGATTCTTGTTACTCTTCTCTTTTGGCTGCTTGGAAGTCTTCTCCTTTGGGTGTTTACTCCTGCCTTGGCAAAGGCTTCCAGACGCCTTCTCTTTGGGCTGTTTGGGGGGTTTCTCTTTGGGCTGTTTGGCAATTCACTGTTGACAAATTGCCTACCTGTGCTTTGCCTCCTCATTAACCGGCATGTCACCGATCGAAAAGCGCATGGCAAGATGGTGCCCCAGCCTCTGGCTGGTAACCGGCCATCGGACAAGCGAGTTTCAAGCAAGCGCTGGAGACCGGAGCAACATGCGTTCTTGCAAGCTAAGGGATATCGTGGGCAGGACACATCTTCTATGTCCACTAGCTAGCTGCTCCAAATATCAATCCTTACTGCTGCATCATCTCAAGTAGCTTCGTGTGGCAGCAACAGGGAGAGCAACCGACTCGACTTCGGATGGAAAAGGTTCCTGCCAAAATCGCATTTTTTATAAACCTTAACCCTCGTGTCTCGTAGACGTTTTCTCGAAACCCCAGAGCATTTCTTCCTCTCGTTGCTGTTGCTTTCAGAGGGCAAGGGAACAAGACGATGGCTACCAATGCCAACGAGCAGTGGAAGACTTCCAATGAAGTCCTGGCGGCTACGGCAGGAGTTGACAGCTGGCGGACCTTTGCTGGTCGAACCACGGGAGGAGAAGGATTTCAGCTGATGGATCTTGCTCGCGCTTTCGTCAAGACTGTCACTCAGCAACAGCCACCGGCAGGCACCGAATGTCCTGTCTGCTATGAGGTTCCAGAGGAATGGAATATTGTTTCGTCTTGCGGCCATGCCACTTGTATTGATTGCTTTCATGCCTATGCAGCATCACAGGTGGCGGATCCTGCCCACCATGGATTTCTCCGCTGTCCGGCATGTCCCTGCCCGTTGCGAACCAAAGACGCTGTCAAGGCAATCGGCAACAATCCAGAGGCCTTGGCATTGTGGGATGCTCGGCTGCGTGATCAAGCTCTCAAACGCATGTCTGGGTTCCGCCTATGCCCAAATTGCGGAAACAGAAACAGCAACGAAACGACCAATGACGATGGCAGCAATAACAATAACAACAACAACAATGCTGCCAATGACAACAATCAATCCAATGGTGTCGCTGGAGAGGGCCAGGGACGTGGTGTCATGTCAACGACTGCAGAGTACAAACCTCTGACTTGTGGTGGATTTGCCACGGCAGAATGTCTGGCCGGGAGAAGCAAGCAACTGCATAGCTTCTTGTCACGTTGCTTGGCAGTAGCTGTTCTCAGTTTGGCTGTTCTGGTAGAGTTCTTTCGGCGCCAATATTTGCATGACGTCTTTGTCAAGACGACCTTCTTGGCTTGTTCATTTGTTTTCCACCTCATGCTCTGTGATACCGCAAATCGCTTTTTGAACGAACGAAAGATCTTGGATGATGCCGCAGAGGAAGGACATTTGGAACGAATGGCGGGCAAAAGAGTGGTGTCGTGCCCTGGCTGTGATGTCAACTTTTCTCTCGCTTCGGAAGGCTCAGACGCTTCGTCGGAAGAGTGGATCAAAAAGCATACCCGCAATTGTCCCGGATGCAACGTTGTCCTGACCAAGGCCCGAGGCTGCAGTCACATGCGGGTACGAGCAACAAGACAGACAGCGGCTACTGAACGACTGTACTCCTCACGCCTTTTCTCTGCTATTTGTAGTGCACACAATGTGGAGTTCATTTCTGCTGGAAATGTATGAAGCAAACATTCTTGTTCTTCCATTCTTGCCCCGAGACGAACACGAACTGAACGAAATGTGGGGTTGAAGTTTAGTTGGCAGATTGGGAAGCGATGCAGATCTTGGAATGAGCTGAAACGCATTCCCAGTGCCAGCCAACTCCATTGAGCAAAACCGTCGGACGGTCCAGAAGCAATGGCATTTCGATCTCTTGTTTTTGTTTTCGCTTGCTATTAATAGGTGGGCACTCATAAGACATTTGACGTTCGAAGCAGTAATCACATACATAATTGAAACGGAGGAAAAGAATATAGAGATTACAGCCACCACGCTACCGGTAGTCCTCACACAGTGCGGCTGGCAGTCCATTAGTGCGCTCTGCAAATGACCTAGACTTGAAGGCAACGCCATCACGTATCGGCAGTCAAAAGCTTTGCTCAACATACCGGTACCTCTACCCATCGTAAGAATCACTGGACGCGGTGACAGAGAGCCCGCATACCGGTAGCACCCCACCCCGACAAACCGACGAATAATGGAACAAACTCAAGAATGCAAACCGAAGAACCCTGCAAACCTGCTTCCAAGCGTGCAGGCCGGGGGGCACGAAAACCACCACCCTGGCGGCTCACCTGAATTAGTGTTGCCCACTCCCCGACAACAAGTGCAAAGATACCGTAGACGATCGTGGCCTTGGCCCTCATGCCTGCGCTGCGTAGCTGCCTCAGCGCTTCAGCTGTTTATCGATACGTACTGAAAGGTAGGTAAAACATACTCGTAATGAACAAGCTTACTTGGTTGAGGAGTTGAGGTACGATGTACGCATGAAGCCTGCAAACACACGATATTCTGTCTGTACGATCTGTGACTCAACTCCTGGCAGCCCCGCATGCACATGCATGCATACATATTATGCATAAGCGTACTGGTACTAGTACGCCTGGCCGTACCGTACCGTACCGTACCTGTATCGTACGTGTGCTATTAATACTACTGCGCTACCTTTCCGTAGGAGAATAAGTAATGGGATACATATACCTTGATATTAAGACTCTATAAGTTTGCTTCCGTACGGTGAGGGGAATCTTGACAGGATCACAAATATTCATACTGCACTTATATAATCTATCTTAGCTCAGGATCCATCACCAGTGCAATTTAGTATCTTATGCTCTGACTAGGAAGAGAGTGCTACCGGTATGGGACAATTCTACTCTACTTCCCATCTTACTAAGCATGCCCTAAGGTGAAAGAGCAAGAGCAGTTTATCACCTGCCGGAGGCAAATGTTTTTGCCATTTGGCCCCTGTATGTTTTTGAGGCATTTTGTTGTAGAAAGGGTCCTTGTATCATCTCTCAATCTCTTATGTGCCCAAGGGAGAGCGCTCGCTGAGTATCTTACGTAGCTTGTAGTTAGTGCAGATCTGAGAGTCTCCAGCATCTGCATCCAGCAAATCTCAGTGCTTGACATCTTGTCTCAGACTCCAAATCAAGGGAAAGGTGGGCTTTTTCAAGAGAAGAGTACATATGATACACGCACGTTTCAGCCTTTTAAAAGTCCAAGATTTGTACTGTACTCAAATCTGACACTACATCGAGATTGAATCTTTTGAAACAGGAACGAGCACAGACACACAGACACAGCATTGCAAAGATCGAAACTGCGCCAGAGCAGAATCTCGAAAGACCTGAACGTTTGAACCAACACCAAACTCCAAGCTCACAAAAACAATCGTTTCCGCAAAGCAACATGACATTCAACGAAACTACCAAATCTACGGTCAAGGCTCTTGATGAGGATCCGGAGGTTGGTCTAATCAAGGTATTGATAGAAGGATACCAAGTAGACCAAATGCAACTTGACGAAGGTTCCATTTCCACCTGTTGCGATGCTGATTTGAAGAAAAATCAAGGGAGCTCCAGAACCCTCTGCATGTATGACGATTCCGACTCGTCACTTCAGAGGAGCACATCAGAATGTTCTGTCGCAGTATCGTCGACCACTCTCGTGAAATTCAATGGCGAACCTTCAACCGAGAAGCAGCAGCCGCTTCATCTTCCACGACAATCTTCTGATGCTGCCGCTCTCGGTTTCGATTCCGACTCCCCAGAAAGCGTGTCCTACTTCGAAAGAAATGTCGTGCTTCCGGTTCTGACTGATGCACAAAGAACGCCAAACTTACAAAGAAATCAACAACAAGATTCAATCTCTTCTTCTGGCGGAGACCGGAGCCAGCCAGGAGCATATCTCGTAGTAGGCATTGGCATTCAAGGCGACCCCGAACTGGCTTCTCCCAGTCCTCCAGATACGCCGGAGGAAGTTCTTGTTGAAGCGGAGCTAGTGGAACCAAGCCAAGAACTGGAACTGGCAGTTGCATCACCCTACACCGACCAAAAGATTCACTACGTCATTGGTATCATTCTTCTGTTGATATTCATTGTCATTGGAGCTGTACTGGCCGGCATCTTGACGAGATCATCACGAAACCTTGATACCCTCAATGCTGCTTTTGAAAGTCAAAAGGCTTTCCCGGAAAGCCTTCAGTATGGAACACCATCATTGGATCTGGGACGCAAGCTCGCTTTGGAGGTCCATGTGCCATGTCAGCATCTGGAAGTATCTTGGCTTTTGGCAGCACTGCCAACGCAGCAGCTGCGCATGTCGGCACAGTTCGAGTTTTCAAAGCTCTGGAGGTAGTAGAACAGTCAACAAGCGGGATCCACAGCGACTTTGACTCCAGCGGAATTTCATGGTGGCGAATGGGTAAACCTCTGATGGGGGAACAGACAGGAGATGGGTTTGGCACAAAGGCTGTAGCCATGACAGCCAGTGGCAACCGCTTGGCTGTTGGAGCGCCTGGTTACAACGTTTCCTCCACTGACAAAGATGGCAACGCTGCCATGCTTCCATCGGCTGGTTTCATTCAAGTCTATGATTGGATTGATAATTCCTGGACTGCGGAAGGCCCCAAAATTCTTGGCCGTTTTGCAGGAGATCAACTTGGCACTGGTGTGGACTTGTCCTCCGATGGGAAGATCCTTGCAGCTGGAGGAGAATCGCCAGGAGGACAAGTCAATGTCTACCGCGAAACCACCAACAACAGTGGGGATATCTCATGGGAACAAGTTGGAAGTCCAATCCTTTCGAGGACTACTGATGACCTCTTTGGCCAGGAGCTAGCGCTGTCGGCTGATGGCACAAGGCTTGCTGTTGGGGCTTCCAAGGCTGAAGTTAAGCAAGGACTTGGCTATGCCAGAGTCTATGAATTCGACGGTGCAGACTGGCAGCAAATGGGTCAAGACCTAGAGGGCGACAGTCACAATTGCCGGTTTGGTCGCAGAATAGCCATGTCCTCGGATGGTTTAATTCTGGCTGCGGCTGCCCGCAATGCTGATGACAACTCCGGCCAAAATGATGTGGGCAATGTCCATATCTACCGCTATGATTCTCCCAGCAATGCTTGGGAACAGATGGGACAAACGCTCTGGGGATCCGGAGAAGCTGACAAGTTTGGAATATCTGTCGACATCTCGGATGATGGGTCCAGAGTGGTGGTTGGTGCAAACCAGAAAAAGGATGATCTTCGGTACGGGTATGTTCGAATCTTTGACTTTGATGACGAGACAAAGGAGTGGACACAAGTAGCCAAAGATCTGAAGGGACAAGACATGTCTGGCGCCTCGGAGTTTGACAGATTAGGAAACGAGGTGGCACTAAACGGAAATGGAAATTTGTTGGCGGTGGGATCTGACGGAGGCAACCGAAACGGATTTGACTCTGGGCATGTCCAAGTTTTTGATTTGGCAGGCCTGGACTAGCTAGCTAGGTAGAGCGGGGTATTGGCGCCAAACCAATATTTGTTCTAGAGAAAGTGTAACTTTATCGCTTAAAAACTGAACCACAGCATGGCGCCACTGACATCGAATCACAGATGAATTCACTTCGATGAAATGATTGAGACTCGAACCAACTCATCGCACGGGCGCTGCAATTCGAGGTGTCGACGAAATGACGTCGTGACTACCTAGACAATTCTTGGGGAAAGGCGGACAACAGACTGAAAGTTGTATTCAAAGCCTCTGGCCCTCCGACCGTGGCAGCCAATTGAAAGGGAACCAGACTGGTCCCCTTGTCACGGCGAGACACCACGGTCATGTCGGCCGTGAGAATTTTGTCGACGCCATTTGCAAAAGGTATCTTGTTCCGAATGGCCAACACCAGTGGTGGATGACCCTCGTGGTTGGGCATTCCCGCAGCCTCTGGAAAGGCGTCCAAGGCGCTTAGTAAAGCCTCCCGTTCCTTCAATCGATAGGGTCGTCGTTCGGCTAGCAAATGAAGAGGTGTGTTGCCGTCTCGATCAATGGCTTGGGCACAGGCTGGATCTCGTTTGAAGGAAATCTTCAACAAGTTCAAGGGTGCATTGGAATGAATCAGTCCATGCGCCACATAATCCTCGCTGATGTTCTCCTTGTCGGGGCAGGCAGTCGTCAATTTGTAGTATTCCAGCGCCAAAAAAGACACCTTGACCCAGAATCGATCCAAATGGCCTTCGTCGACCGTACGTCCCTTTAACAATTTGCCAACGGCCAAGACACCCGGAATGGATTGCGTGTAGGAGAAGAAGAGGCCGCGAATGGGTGGGATCCCATCAAATGTGGAGATTTTGAGAACGGCAGGATTCTTTCTCACAATTTGTTCAATTACTTCGAACATGGCATTGTGGCCACAAGCGCTGTGAAGGCAGGTCCCTCCAATCACGTTTCGTTTCAAGACATCTTCCGGAGTGCAATGGGACAAGAGAATGGTTGCCTTGGAAAGTGTCTTTTGACTGTTACGGCAGACAATGTGCATTGGCGTGTCATGATAGAACTTGTCCTTATGCCGTGTCATTTCGGGTGCAGCCTCGGCCACGAGAAGAATCAATTCCGGAGACGAGCTACCCATTGCACAGATTGTGTGCAGCGGCGAACGCCCTGATACCGGATGGATCAAGGATGCCACGGTTGGTTCGGTCAAGATTCGTTCTCTGACGGCTTCCCAATCATGTTCCTTGATCAGGTCAAAAATAGTGGGAGGACCTTCTTCTTCTTCTGCTGCAGTGACGCCCTGTGGGACGGTAGTAGGCGGCAAGCCATTGATAGTTCGTTCAACAGGTCGTTCCATCCAGGATCCTGCATTACGCTGTCTCATTTGCTGAAAATCGATTTCGTACTGATGACCATTCATTGAAGTTCCGGGGATTGGATGGAATGTTCTTTCGGTCACATTGTCAGCGTCATTCAGTTCATTGAGCACCGATTGATTTTGATAAAGATGTTCCACAGCTTGATTAAAATTCGCATCGCAAGCATGCCAACCATCCGGCAATCGACCATGAGGATCATCCCGCAGGAAATAGTACCATTGCGGATTATTGTTGGCAGTCGCCATCGTAAAGAATGTACTTCCTTCTTTGAGAAATTGAGCTTGTCAGCGCTTTTTCACACAGATTGCTGGCTACCTAACGAACTTTCTCTCTCTCTCTCTCTCTCTCTCTCTCTCTTTCTCTCTTTCTATCTCTTGGCTGGCTACGGCTGGCTACGGTATGGTGCACACTGTCGGTCGTATTCAAGGCAAACGTCAAGGATAGTGTCGCAAACGATCATCTCGGACTTCTTTCCCCACCTCGTTCTTGGACTTTGCAGCCTCAGTCGTGCCCCAGGGGTTATCCTTCCCTCCGCTTCGATTCGATTCGATTCGGCTCGAATTGATTCGATTCAGTCGAGTCAAATCGAATAAAATCGAATTGAATCGAATCGAATGATTCAATCGAAACGATTGGGTCTTACTTCAAGAGAGACATGGATGACCGGATCCAAAAACAAGCCACAACAAAAGCGAGACTCGACTCACAGCATGGGTTCGCGGTTCTGTGCTGACATCAAGAAGCTCTGCATGCACATGCTATGTACCGTAGTACAAGAAGAGGTCGCGGTTCTGTGAAGCTCTGCATTTTATCATATTCTTTACAAAGTACAAGAAGCTCGACAAGATTAGATGAGAAGGTTAGCTTGCGAGCGGTACCGATAAAGATCCAGCCGCAATTCGCGACTTGGATTGTACTATTTTCCCTATAAAAAACTGAAGAATGGCCAATTGATAGAGACGGGGGCTAATCTGGTGGGTCTGAAAGAGATAAGCCAAGAGTTTCAAAAGGGAGTAGAGGAGAATCGGCGAGTGACTCATTCACAAGCCTTTTGATTCGGGACTATTCCTGTATCCCAAAATGAGGGAATATCCAGGAATCAACATTCTCACTGGAGACTCAGGCTTATGTCAATATCAGGCAGGAGTACTTCTCGTGATCGATGATATCTGGCAAATAAATCATCTGAAACAACAATACTGGCCAGCTCGTAGCTAGCCACTCTAGCTAATAGTATTCTCTCTCCGTGATATCATGATAAAATTGTTCACGGTTGGAGTCACACTTTTGACAAAACTACTAAAGCCATGCTTCTCTTTTGGTTCAAGGTTGGAATCATGAGATCATTCACATCCAGTATGGGTAGCTTGAGCGGTACCGATTCTATTGGCAATATCACCCCGATTTTGGTCACCGCCAGGGTCCATTGGCTTTGGCTGCTCTCAGTCTCATCTATCTCACAATTTGGATTCATCCACAAAACAAAAGCAGCAGAACCCAAAAGCCAAAAGCAATTTCAAAAGCAACTCCAACAAAGCAGCTCCCATTGTCCTCCTACTGACAACCATGAAGTACTTCTCCTCCATCCTTTTGGCTTTGTCCTTGCTTTTCACCAACCTCGGGTTCACCCTTGGTCATGGTGTGCAAATCCTTTGCTGCCTCAGTCCTCGAGGCAATCTCCGCGTCTTCATTGAGCACTGGCATGATGACCAGACCTTGATTCCACCTGCCCCCCATACCATCAACACTGCTGTATGGGGTGGCCCCTCCACACCTATGCAGGCAACCGGAGTTGTCAACAACAAACAGGAGCACGAGCTCGGCTATTTGTGCTATGGCAATGTTGCCCCTATTCAGGTTGCCAGTTGTGGTAGTGCTGATCTATACAATGATTGGGCGTGGTTTGACTTCCCCAACCCTGACTGTGACGCAACACCCACTTACACCATCATTTCAGCAAACTCTTACTTTTTCCGGCAAGAATGTCGCAACTTCTACCCTCAGAGCTTTGGAATCAGTCCCATTTGTAGGGGCCAAGCCAAGGCTTCTGGTGATCCTCATATCCAAACTTGGGATAAGAAGTGGTATGACTTCCATGGACAGTGTGACCTTGTCTTCCTTGACAATCCCGAGTTCAATGATGGCCAAGGCATGGATATCCACGTCAGGACCACAGGTCGTTACCAGTACTCCTACATTGAAGCAGCTGCCTTGCGCATTGGGGATGACGTCTTGCAAGTCAGCTCCCATGGCAACTACTTTTTGAATGGTATTGGACAGGCTGCCATGCCAGCCACTCTTGGAGGCCACAATGTGACTCACTTTGTTGATGAAAATAACAGGTACACATTTGAGGCTGCCCTTGGAGAAGGCAAGAACGTTGTCATTCAAACCTTCAAGGACTGGGTCAATGTCAAGATGGATCATGCTGCCGAAGAACACTTCCGCGGTAGCAAGGGCCTTCTTGGTGCCTTCCCTACTGGCGAGTGGATGGCCCGTGACAACAACACTCGATTCACTGATGCCAATGAGTTTGGACAGGAATGGCAAGGTAAGTTTGATTCTCTTCATCCATGATGCTTTTTTAAGAGAACCCAGAACTCACCCTGCACCTCTTGTCCATGTAGTCCGTGACACTGATGCCAAGCTTTTCTCGGTCAACCGTGAGCCCCAGTTCCCCCAGAAGTGTGTCATGCCTGGTCCCAAGAGTGCTGCCCGCCGCCTTGGAGAGACTATTGCCAAGGCTACTGCTGAGAAGGTCTGTGAACACTGGGCTGATGATGAGAAGGACCTCTGCATCTTTGATGTCATGGCCTCTGGTGACTTGGATCATGCTGCTGCTGGTGCTTTCTAAAGAAAGCATTGCATTTCATGTTCGCATGTGGGTACACGTGGCTGAATTGGTTGGGAAGGAGCTCGGTGTCATGGCACCTTGACACCTTGACGCACCGCCCACTAAGATGGCTGCTGCACTGCATTCGGACCATTCCTTACACGTATTATCATGGTGGATTTGACTCGAGCAGATTCTGTTGCCATTACATATTCAATTGAAGCACCAGCATTCCAATGGATGCTGTTTGAAGAAGAAAGAAAAAATAACAACTTTTAATTAGTGAGCAATGAACTTGATAAAGGCTGTGCTCCTGATGCCATCCAGTAGTACTGATGGAGGTTCTGCCCAGGCCCTAGGCAGTGCTAGGATTGGAATCATGATGGACTTTGCACCTACCAGCTAAGATGCCTCTCCTACTATTGAATTATTCTGTGCCTTACTAGCTCACAGACAGCAGCCAAGCAGTGAAAGATGTTTAGTGAAAGACCATCTACGATGCCTCTCCTATTGAATTATTCTGACTTGCAAGCTAGCAGACAGCAAGCGGTGAAAGACGTTTGGTGAAAGGTGTTTAGTGAAAGACATTTCGGGATGTCAATCGTCAAAGGGTTTCATGGTGGTCCTGTTATTCCTGGCTTGAATCAAGCAGCAGAAACCAAGATTCTAGCTGTTAATAGCCAGTGAATGCATACAAAAAGGAAAAGGAGCTTGGATGGGACCGCAGGAGTTGTTTCACCCTTCAACCTTTCCCGCCCGATCCCTGTCGACCACCACAGCCAGCCTCGACGGACGTGCGGGCATGCGAGCTGCTAGCTAGTTAATACGAGTAAAGTGGGATCATTCCAGCATGTTCTTCATGCCTTCGCGGGAGTCGAGTCGAGCCTCTCCTTCTCCGTTACCGGACACGACTACAGTACGGTACCTTCCGTACCGTACCGGTGATACCGGTACCAGGCAGCTAGAGTGGACCAATGGCACGTACGGCACGATTGGGACCAGTACCAATCGTAGAAGCCTCTGAACAACAATCACAAAAAAAGTGGCTCAACGAAGCAAATCAAATCCAAGCACAGTGGAAAAGAAAAACCAAAGCAAGCCAAATCAAGAATAGAACTGACAATCATGGCATCACCAAAGAATAAACAAAGTACCGGTGTTCACAAGCTATATAATGGCCTCTTTGGCGGAAAGAAGCAGGCGTCAGCGTCGCGCGAACAGCAGAAAAGGGAGGGAGACGATTCAGTGACCGCGAACCTGGACGCCTCTAATACAGAGGACTTGGTCCTGGAGGAGGAAACACCAGACAAATTTGAGAAGAGATTAGGAATGATGGCATTCGAAACCACAGCGAGCTGCTGAGGAATCGGCTGAGGTACCAATCGGGGTTAGAACATAGCCAAGCCTAAGACATTCCTGCTTGCTGCTACTAGTAGAGCTCATTATAAGAACTGTATTTTACGTACATGTCCATCATTCGGAAGAGCTCGTTGATAGGCATTCTTCGAATGAACAGCAACCGAGTAGTGGTGGATGCACAATTCAGAAGAAAGACCAACAGCGGATCCAACCCACCGCAACTTGTGGACCAATGCATAACTTGAGTAGAAAATGCTCTGGTCGATATATCCAAGTTGGGTCTGTTCATAGAGTTTCAATAGCTACCAGTACTATGCCTTCTGCAAGGAGACATTTTAGGCGGAGGAGCCTCAGTGGATTTCTCGTGCTGCCTGTTGTGAGTTTGAATTGACAAAACAAGTACTGGTAGCAAGATGTCATGGAACTAGACACCTTATGAGCCCTCTGCATCCGTGAGCTTGCACAACATGTGAAGACCGATGCGATTCCTACTACGCTGACTTGAAAAAATTGTGGAGCTCCCAACTCATCAGCCCGTTGTCAAGCCAGGCAAAAGAATGAACCAAGAGGGCAGGTCATAGAGCACGAACTTCATACAGATGATGAACAGCATTTCTTCCAATTGTCAATGTTAGATCTCTGTCGGGCGGCGTCAGCTCCTCCGCTGCATGCCCAAAGCCACAACGCTTACTGCGATTCCAAGAAAGGCGGGAAGGCTCGGGGGCTGTTTAATCGTCTCGATACCATCATGATCCCCCATTAGTTGGGACAAGATTCCGGGTTCATTATCTTCATCATACGGCGGCTATCGTCGGCCCAGGCAATGCTGCGCTCTCCACGAAAAGTCAACCGTTGTGTTGGAGATACCCAAACACCTACCGGTACTGTTACACCAAGGCACTGGCCGAGACTCTCTTGTCGAGAGCAAAGGGAATGTACCTCTTGTCATTCTGCGCCCCTCTCTTTGTGACGGCCTGGTACGAACAAAATCCGCTGCCCGGTTGGATCGACTCTGACTCCAAAGCCGCATTGGCAGCCTTCATCTCGTTCTACGGAAACTGTTTCTTGCACACATTCAGCGTCACTCAAGGCTGACACGAAACAAGATGTAGTTCCTCGCGACTATGTTGCAGAAGGCCTTCTCTATGGTGCATTGGGCAGCATGAATAGAAGAAATTAGGCCCCTGTGATCCATGTCAATGCGGGCCCAGACCAGTCTATGACTAATGACAGCCAAATGATTAAGTTCTTTGCACCCAAGGGACGATATCTGAAGCAGCGCTCCTTTATCCGTGTGTCACGGGTGGAACTCAAAGCGCCGAGTATTCGATGCTAAAGCACGCTTTCGCTGGAATTCTAAGGGACTTGCCGAGCAGCTCGGTACCGGTAGGGCCGCCACAAAGTTGGACAAGATTCAAGGAGTATTCTCAGACTTTTTCATGCCTCATACAATTTCAACGCGGAAGACTCTTTAGCGGATAGATTCTTTCTTTGATGTTGAGGCATTCGAGGACAGTGGTGCACTTGGATGTCTTCCACGATCTCCTCAGTGGGAAGGAAATGCCGACGCCATGCACACGAGCCTGCATTGAAGGCCGGGGCCACTCCTTCAATGATTCGATTCAGAGTCGAGTCGAGTCGAGTCGAGTCTACCGGTACCTGGTACACTATGGTGGAGAGCTGGCAAACTCGACATCGGTCGAACAGAACGATCGAGCGCAACTACCGGTACCAGTACTAAAGGTTGCTGTCTCCTTGAGACGTCGATAACCGACTACCACCCGATGTCGATCGAATCAAACTAAAGGCTACTAGCTAGCTTGTCTTCCGCTTCTAAAGATAACCATTATTCGCTAAACGGCAACCTGATACGTCGACAACCAACCACCACCCCGATGAGCCCCCTGGTCCGACCGCACTCCTAGGTAGCTACATGTACTAGTCGTAGAGACACGGCGAGGCGTCCAACGCATTCTCCTTTTGGTTCAGATACTTCATGTAGGACCGGATCTGTTCCTCTTGTCGTCGATGTTCGTTCATACGGAACCGTTTGACATCTCTCTTGGTATAAAAGAGGTACGGTTTCATTTCTTCCGAAACCTTGGGAATCTCCACGACTTGATTAAAGTTGTCCGCAAAGCGCACCACGACGGGTCGTGGCGGCGGTGGAGAAATCGGACGCGAGTTTGTTCGTGTCGGTTTCCGAGGCGCCACGTCGGAAATGACATTCTCCATGTGCAATTCGGGTTCGTCGGAGATAGTTCTTCGATGTCGACGACGAGGTCTACGGTCTCGTTTGGGCTTTTTGGGTATTGCATCGTCGTTGTTGCTTTTGGCGCCGTCGTCGTCGGCATGCCAGGGACTGGGCGCCAGTAGTGGATGCAGCGCCGTGTTGTTGTCGTCATCCTCCTGGTCGGGGGCAGCCACGGACATGGGCATAAAGGGCACCGATGCGGCAGGAGGGCTGAGAGGAGGGAGTTTGTGTTGGTTGTTGTCCTCGTCGTGTTCGGGATATCGTTCGGAGTCTTCTTCCATTCCAGCAGCCAAATGTCGTTGATACTTTTCAATATCGGAAGAGGAGATGGACCGACGAAATCGACTTCGCATTTGCCATTCAAACTCTGGTGGTTGTCCATCCGGGACACTACCACCAGCCCCACCACTACTCGGATCGGAGGAAGGCGTGAGCATCCCAATGTCATTCAAGCTACTGGATCGATTCTGTGTCACAGGAGGCGGGCTATGCGGCGCAGCGGCGTGTTGTTTCGCATCGCCGTGTGCAGTTTCGGCGGACGTCACACGACGTGGCATTTTCAATCCATTGGTGCTGGGAGGGTGTTTCCTGTCATCACACCAAGGAGAGATGATTGGCAGTGGTGCTTCCAGTGGCATTTCAATTTCCTCGTCATCATCATCTTCTTCTTCTTTGACTGTTTCAAACTCGCGTATGGTGGCTGAAGTGGATCGGCTGCTGATAGGAGTAGGTGTTATAGTGCTGTTTCTTGGAGGCATTGTGGCCGACGACGAGGAGGTAAGAGAAGGAGGAGATAGTTCATTGAATTCGAGTTCCTTGAGCGATTTTCGTAGACTGCGTGTTCCCCAATCCTCTTCCTCGTCCTTGGACAACAAGGATGCTTCTTCCAGGGCCACGGAAGACGTGAGCAGATGACTATCTCTGTGATTCATTGCCAGCGCAGCGGATCCCTGTCGATGGGGAGTATTATCATGTTGTTCCGCTGCATCATCGACCAGACTATCCGCCGAGTTTTCTCTGGATAGTGCCGTTCGGACCGATCGTTCAAATTTCCCCAAATCCGATGCCAAAATGGCGCGTCGTAACGAGCGTGTCCCCCACTGATAGTCGCTTTTGTTATTTTCCAGAGTCTGTAGTTTGTCTTGCGAGTCGCCTGCAGTACATGCAGCAGTAGCGTTGGTGGTAGTATGGATATGATGATGATGATGAGGATTGTCGTGACTCAGAGTTTCATCGTGTACTCTCTTGGCGGCTCTATCTTGACAGAATTGTCGTTTGAATTCTGCCAAGTCCGAATTGGCAATAGAGTTTCTTCCCACTCGTCTTGGCTTGCTGTTGCTGCTTTTGTTGTTGTTCGCATTATTGGTAGAAGAAGATATTGCCAGCGCCAGAGCTATCGTTGCAGGGGTTGTTGCAGTGAAATCAGAGGTGAGTTGTTGTTGCTGTTGCTGGTTGAGTGTGGTTGATTCTTCTGTGTCTTGTTGCTGCTGTTGTTGTGGATATCCCTCTAATATGGCTTGGAATTCTCTTTGATAGTCTGTCAAATCATGGGCCGAATTGGCTCTTCCTACATCTGCCAGACTGAACTTGCGTTGGTATTCCATCAAGTCATCGACCGAGAGAGAGCGATAGAGATGACGTTGCGCCCATTCCGGTTTCTTTTTCTTCTTCTTTCGCGGCGGGTTGGCGTTTTTCAATATATCGTCCTTGCTATCGGTTCGCAGATACTCTTCTCGTTGTTGTCTATGAAACTCGACCGCTCTCCGGCGAAAGTCTTCTTCATCTACTTCTTCCACACTACTCTCTTCTTCTTCGTGATGTTTGTCGTGTTGGTGGTGTGCTTCTTGCTCATCATCATCATCGTCGTCATCGTCATCTGTACTCTCATAACATTCTTCCAACGTCTCTTCACTGTGCAGGAATCGATCACTGAGCGCTCGAGTGGTATCGTAGTAGACAGGACTAGGACAACAGTCGTTGTCGTCCGCGTCCGCAGTTGCTGCGTGGATGGGTTTGTAGCTGGCAGTGGCTACTTCTCCCTGTGCTGTGCTGTCCATGGTAGACTAATATAGATGGATATATGTGAGAGCTTTTCCTCTTACTCACTATAGCTACACGCGATGGGTAAATCGTTGATGATAGCACTACTCTATCAATCAATCAATCAACAACAAGGATGTATAGATGATGGCAGGGTCGCTCTCTGTCTTGTCTGTCGAATAAGTAAAGTTGCTTCCTGTCCTCTATTCACGGCTGTTGTGGTAACGGCGGCAGCTGTTGCTGTGAGAGGACATGCAAATGAGCGTTATTCGATGGATTATTCGATTCGATTCGATTCGGATGATCGATGATAGTTCAATGCATGCGCATCGATCAATCAATCAAACGTGATTTAAACAGTCCCGAACAGAAATCGAAAACACTCCACACTTTCAAATTTGCCGTTTCATGTGCTTGGATACCCAAGCAAAACCAATGCCTCATTCGAAATCAAACTCATTCCATCAAATAGAAAAAGCCCATTACACAACTAACTCTGGGATGTCGAACGAAAGAAATGAAACAAAACTAATAATGATGAGCCACCACCACCATGACGAAGACGACGACAAGCAAGTGTGTGCTATTTGCTTGGCCAATCTGTTCACTAGTAGCACTAGCAATCATCATCATCATCATCATACAGTAGGAGCCGTCGTCCCTTGTGGTCATTGCCTTCACGCGTCCTGCTTTCGACAATGGCAACAATCCAGCTACAATCAGGGACGCAATCATTGCAATTGTCCCATTTGCAATGCTCCTGCAAAAACCTTTGTCACACTTTTCTTGGAAGAACCATCAGACAACAACAAGGATACCACTAGTAATATGCACACCACAAGAACTCCCAAGCGTAGCAATCATACTAGCAATGTCATGTCAGGTACGGGAATACCTTCCCGAAATGGAACTGCGACGGTTGCAACTGGGAATTCCAATGCCATGGATCCTACCACCAGCAACAACACTACTACTACCAATGGAGGAGGCGGAGAAGAAGAACTCCAAGAACTGTTGGCCCATCAAGAACGGATCAAGAACAAACTCAAGCGATACAAACGACGCAATCGCACTCTCCAACAAGAGTTGCAGTCGGAACGACAAGAAATGGAAGACATGCTACTCTCCACCATTCAAAACTTTTACAAAATCATGGACAAACACGACGAAGAACGACACCGTTGGACGTCGTCGACACTCGAATTACGGCACGAATTGGATGCCACCCTGGCGACATTGCAGCAAGAACGACTGGCTCACATGTTGCAAAAGAAACTCATGGAACAGGATTTGGACCTGTTGCGACGGGATTGTCATGTGGCGCAACAACGCGTCACGGCGGCCACGGAAGGATTGGCACAACTCAAAGTGCACAATCGACAACGACAATCTACAGTGCACCAATTGTTGCAAGAAAAGGCGCGACTCGTAGAAGACAACCGGAAGCTCAAACAGGTAGTGGCAATCGTAGGAGGGGCCGAAGTGGCGTTGTGGTAGTCAATTTACAAACGATGATATTGTGGTGGAGGAGGGTCCGCTATGAGCCAATGGAAGGATGGAATGAATACGAGAAGGGACCAACGTTAACAACTGTGCAAATTGAAGTAACTACTATAATATGGATGTTTTCAGCTACATGTATAATAAAACAAAGCTACCGTAGTCGTATCGTCATCGAAACAAAAGAATGCGTGATGGCACCAAGTGTTGGGAAAGAGAGAGATTGTGAACCCGTGAAAAACCTGAAGCTCACCGTCCGATTGCCTTCCGTTGCTTAAATCTTTTCTTTATGGCCAAAAATCTGGCTTTCGTCACAATAGTCTAGTCTAAGTCACGAGTTTTGGTTGAGCATTACACACACTACACTCGTTTGCTTGCTTCTTTCGTCGAAGGACCCGCTGTCCTTTACTGTGTGCATCGTCTCAAGACCAAGTGAATGCACTAATACTGGAATTGGAAAGGGAGCTTTCTATCTAGCCAGAGCTGGGATAACATTTGTTTGTCATAATCCAACCGAGGGATTTGCACTTCCAGAAAGAACATACAGAACAAACAAGTGAGTGAGTGAGTGAGTGAGTGAGTGAGTGAGTGAGTGAGTGTAGGGAACCATGGACTTTTCTATGGAAGAGCACAACCAAACCTGTGCCATTTGCCTCGAGAGCTTGCTCAAGAATGGTACCAGTGGGGAGACGTCTTCATCATCGCAGACAAAGATTGGCGCAGTGGTTCCGTGTGGTCATGTCTTTCATCATGCCTGTTATCGAAAGTGGCACTCGGCGCAAGAACGACGACGCCGTCGCGATAGTGCCAACAACAACAACAATAGTCATTCCAACAACGACGACAACAAGTGCAAATGTCCCATGTGCAATGTGCCCTGCAATGATTTTGTCAAACTATTCATGGGATCGGAATCATCGAGCAGTCATAGTCGGCGCACTTCTGCGAGCAGTGCCGCAACAACAAACGAGGGCGACGACGAGAGTCTTCGTCTGCAATCGTCTCGCAAGAGTTTAGATCGCGTCAAGGACAAGCTGAATCGGTACAAAAAGGAAAATCGTACTCTGGAGAAGAAGCTACAGGATGAACGCAAACTCATGGAGTCCACGTTGGAACGGACGGTGGAACGACACTCCAAAGAAAAGCGATCCTTCCAACGCAAACATCAGCGCCTCGAGGAGCAAGTCAAAGAAAAAGATGCCGCTCTGGCAAGCACTGCACAAGAGTTGCAGGCCCTCAAAGAAGAACTCGAGAGTGACCGAATCAAGTGGAAGAAACATGCCAAGAGATTAGAGCAAAAGTTGGTGCAGGTAAGGAACAATCCACTCGAATATGCATGTATGTACTGGTTGGCACCCCCGCAAAAGTTTGTGGGTCTCACTTTTTGATACTCTATTACGGTAGGAAATGGAAGGCAACACCGAGGAACATTTGGCGCAGGTACGTGAATGGGGCAGGAGAAAGGCGACCTTGAAAAAGGACGTTGTACTGGCGCGGGCCGAAACCAAAGCCATGCAACAAGAAATTGATCGGACCGTCGAATTGCAAGTGGCCGAACGACGCCAGTGGGAACAAAAGGAAAAGCAATGGAAACAAGAGCTTGAAAAGGCACAACAAGAAAAGGCCAAGGCAGACGCCCGAGTCGCCAAGGCGGTACAGGGGATTTCCCAAATGCGAGCCTTTCACGAAATTCGCAAGGAGCACGTGGCCAAGTTGGAGCAAGAAAAGGCGCAGCTAGCACAGCAACTTCAAGAGCTCCAGCCCAAGGCAGAATTGGACGAAGAAGTTTTGTTGTTTGGATCATAGACCGACACGCGAGTACACACACTGTTGTAGTCTTCTTGCTGTTGTTGGATAGAGGATTGGGGACTTGAGACCATGGGTCCTGGAAACACAAAATCGGGTCTATTTGTGGGCCAGAATCTACTGTAATGGTTGATACCCGCGGACTAGCTAGCTAGAAGAAAATGCCTGATGATGTAGTCCTAATAATTACATTTTTATCACACTGCGCACGTACCGGTATCCCCGCTTACCATCTGCTTTCCGATCTCTCTAGGCTGCCGAACTCGCACAAACACAACGAAGTACCGTATCACATCCTAGCTACTAAACACTCGCTTCTGTCGGGTGGGGGTTCCGACTAGGCAACCGCAAACGTTTGCCCTGCTTGCACTCCCTGTGGAACGGTCACCATCACTTGCTGTCCTGTGAATGGATTCTGGATCTGAAGCTGCATGCCGGGGTAACCATTTGGCGGTACCTGCACTTGAAATACTTGAGGCATCGTCGTGGGGACGGATTGTTGCACCTGCAGACCGTTCGGATGGCCTGGTATGGTTTGTGGTGGGCTGGCGTTACGGCCGTATGGCGAATTGGGTGCGCTGTTGTAGGGAGACGATCGTGGTGGCGACCCACTACCAGCAATGCCCGCACCAGCGACGGGCAAGGCACCACCGTATTGATGATAGGTGTCGTATTTGGTGTCGTCCACCAATCCAGCGCTGGGATTCTCAATGAAAATTTCTCCGTCGTATCCTCCGTCAAAATTTAACTCAATATCGATATCTTCTCCAGGGTTGTAATCAGACTCGACGACAGAGAATTTACTGCCTGAAAGTGGCGGATGCGGCATAATTCCTTGAGAGTCGTAGAAGTAGTCCACCAGTTGATCAGGGACTTCATCCAGAGTTTCTTTTGTCAAGTTTTCTCGGTTGTGTTGATGCTTGTGAAATTCCACAAATTGGCAAATATCTCTACCTGCCGTGTTTCCGGATGAGAGAAAGTCATCCAAGAATTGCATGGTGGAAAAGTCGGCAGTTCCAATCCCCACAATGATGATGGAGAGAGGAGCGTCGCTGGCCTCAATGAGGGCTCGTTTGGTGTGTTCGACGTCTGTCACAGCTCCGTCGGTCAAAATCAACAAGATATGGTAGGATTGCTTCCCGACTTTGGCACTTTGAGCTTGTTGCGCTCGGGCTTGTTGGGCCGCTTTCGTAATGCATTCGGCAAACACAGTGGGGCCACTCATGGTCAACCCCGTTCGAAAAACTCGACGGTAGCCATCTAGGATTCCTTGGATGCCCGATAATTCTGGGTCCGGGCCCACTTGAAAGCAATGATTGATGATTCCACGGAATTTGGCACCAAAGCCCCAGACGGGAAATTTCTGATCCGAATCGTATCGCGCCACCACAGCACCCACAGCGGTAATGGCTTTTTCGTAGTCGTTCAAGCTGCCGTCACGGTGAATGTAATGCAGCGTTCCTGGCTTTCGAGGGTCTCCATTGCTTCCAGTAAAATCAATCGCCACGCACATTTGCAGTTCCAGGCCTCCCGTGAGATAATCCACAAATTTGGGCCTGGTTCCCCCGTTGGGAGGAGGCACGGCGGTTGACCCCGAGATTCCAAGCGGAAGCTTTCCATAGCTTGGCTGGTCGCTTCCCGCGACCACAGCGGATGCAACGGCCGCTGCGGTGGATGCTGCGGCAATCGGCACGGCCGATGCCATGGGTGGTTGTTGACCAGGGCGCGGAATGGCACTGGAACTCCTGATTGGGTTGACACTGTAGCTGGGAGCTGGCATGGGCGGCTGTGGCGGCAGGATCGGTTCTGGCAAGTGGTGTATTACAGTCTGCGGTCCCTGTGTCGTTGCCGACATGGTTGCTCCGGTTATTGTGGCACCCGTGACAACAATTTTGCCATAGTCCTTTCCAGATTTGACGAGTGAATAAGCCTTTGAAATGTCCACCTTTTTGCCCATGCCATCCGGCACCACCGATGCCATCAACGCCTTGACGTTGGTTTCAAATGATCCCATCGATCGATGCTTTCCACTTTTCTCCCAATCATAGACCGCAATGAGAATGGGAGCAGTTCTGTCGCCCTGGCAAAGTTTGTTGACATTGAGATCCATTTCTTCCCAAACCGGGTTTAGAGAATTGTCGATATGTTTGCATCGAAAGACAGGTTGCCACGTGAGACCACCGGCGCTGTTGACTTTGGCGCTGATTTCCACAAACGGGTCTGATTTGGAGAAGAATCCTTCCACATTTTTCAATTTGTGTCCTTGCAACTTGAGTATCAACCGTCCAGCATCTTCGGTAGGAGCCGCCATGGCATGAACGAAAAGGGTTCCTCCAGACTTCATTTTTTTTGCCTTGACATTCCCCCGGCTGCCAAGAATTTCCCCAATCTCAAACAAGGCGGATCCCATTGGTTTGGCTTTGTTGCCTTTTCTGATTTCATCTAAGATAGCAATATTGATGCGTGTACTGACACCCAAACTGTAATCTAGGATGAAAGAAGTGGTCCATTTGGGGGATAGATTGTTTTTGACTCTGCATCCAGCAAGAAAAGAGGAAGCATTAGAAATGAAACTCTCACTAACAAAGAACTCGCCGCGATTGGTCTTGACTTACACTTCTGTTTTTCCAATAATCTGGGGTTGATCTGATGGGTTGCTTGCCAGGAGGGTCACCACGGCAAATGGGTCTGATATCCCCTTGCCGAATCCTGCTACATTGGTCTAGAAGAACACAGGAAAAAGGTTTGAGACCAACAGAAAGATGGCAGAATCCATCTTAGTTGATTGATTGAATGATGTTACGAACACGTACCAGTTTGGAAGCATATAGATTGATTTGAACTTTGGAGACCTTGTTGCTTTGTTCTGCGCCTTCAGTTCCAAAGGCATCTTTCCATCTCTTCCATTCTGGATTCAATTTTGTCACACCATTGATCTTGACGTATTTCTTGGGTGCGTTGTTCATTGTCGTGTCGCTAGTCTACACTCGACCTGTGTCTTGGGAATGACTATAGAAGCTGCTTCAATTCGATGCTTCAGGGAGGATTCGGAATAAGGCTTTCTCTTGCCCTTGTGAGATCTTTCTTATGGATCTTTATTTGGACCAGGCGGATCGATCGAGGTACCGTTAGGGGTCCTCTCAAGGCTTCAGAGGCTCTCGATGGCTGTTGCTTTGTATCGCTTCACAATCTAGAAACGATGCAGCAAGGAATGATCTGTCTTTAGTCTGGGTTTTATGCCGACAGCTGCTATCTACGGTTGCTGACAACTTGTTGTGGATTGTGTGGAGGGCTTCAACAAGCGAACCCTGGCAGCCTGGAAGAGGGCATGCAGGGTTGACGAGGTGCTTCAAGTGCCGGGCGTCCGTTGCTTTGGGCGGGTGGACGACTCACTGTCACTCAAGACTGTGCGACACGACTCAGCTGCGTGCAGCTCCCAGCGCAACCGAAAGGCAAGCCACGTTACACGTTACCCAAGGCACGGGCCGCAGGTGCCTGACAGCGTTGCTCGGATCAAAGATCCAAGATGGAAACAAGGACGAACAAAAGCCGGGAATACGGTGGTAGCACCCTCGCGAACCTAGCTAGATACTAGCCAATGCTGCTTCTGATGAAGTAACTAGCAAGATCATTGGTCTTGGGTGCTCGATACCCTACCGTATGCACCAAGGCTGGTATGCAATGTACGCAATGGTGGGAACGATATAGGGAACGAGAACGAATAGACGCAACAAGAAAGCTTCACGAAACCGTAATCAAACAAGCAAAATCGACTTATACAGAGGCCCAATAGGGCACTAGCTAGAAATAAAGGCACCGGCCTCTCCAGATTCTTTCTGAGGCTGCCAGTGCAACAGTCCTGGTGAGGATAGCTACTCAACAGCACTGAATCTGACTGCAGTTTGCTGTGATCGAGAGATTGAGGCTGCGAGAGCAAAGTTCAACAGGGATACTGCCTGTGATGGAAGTCCCAGAGATATCCAAGTACAGCAAGGAAGTCAATAGCAGCAACTCACTTGGAAGGGTGCCACTCACAGCAGAATTCCCTGACAGGTTGAGTTCTGTCAACTGAGCCATCAAGCCCAACTCCGATGGTATTGTGCCTTCAAAAAAATTGTTCCCAAGGCCCAAGTACCTCAAGTTCGTTGCTCGACTTGCTTCCCACATTGGAATGGTTCCTCCATAGCGGTTCTCAGTCATATTGAGAAGCTCAAGGTTTCGAAGTGCACCAAGAAAATGGACGTTGTCGGTCTTGAGCTGATTAGAATCCAACCTCAAAGTTCGGAGGAAACTTGGATCAAGATCTGCATCCGTAAAGTATGTGGCAATTTCAATACTATTGTTTGACAATATGATTGCTTCGAGTTTGTTTGAAGATGGTGCAAAGGGCAGCCCCCCAGAGATGTGATTGTTTGAACAATCAATAACTTTCATGCTTTCTGTCAGTTGGGATTCCATTGGTAGAGTGCCACCAAGATTGTTTGATTGTAAATCTGTCGTCACAAGACGCCCATCCTGGTCGCAGGGTGTGGGGCTTTGTGAGAACCACTCACACTCAGGGACTTCATAGGATAGCCAATTGTCATTTCGAAACCAATTGTCTCCTTCCATTGCATGGTAAACAACAGCCAATGCAAACCTCTGTATCTTCTGCCACTTGGGATGGGAGTCAAGATACGGATCTTCCCACATCCAATTGTTTGCTCTGGCTTGGGGGCCCGTTGGGTCATCCAGAATTGCCTTGCGTGTGTTTTGATGTAATGCACTGTCAAATGGAGGGTACCAGTGGCTTCTGTTGGTCAAAGCAGGTTCAGCGAATGTACCAATGGCCACAGATGGATCAGATGAACCGAAGTCTTGGTTTGATAGTTGTGATATTGCCAGCCAGAGTACCAATCCAACAATCACTGCAATTATCACAAAGAAGCATAGATTGATGAGAGTGGAAGAGAAAGAGGATGACGGTGATTCGTTTTCTTTGCTCCTCATGGGCATTACGTTCAATGCTTCTGGAAGTTGCACTCGAACTTGTCCTGTTTCTTGTTGTTGTGCTTCCTGATCTACCAAAGTAGCATCCAGAGGACTGCTGATGTTGTTTTGGTTGTTGGGCAAGGTCGGGTCAGGGTGGGGGCTCCTTGTTAGCTCACGACTGCTGGCTCCTCCTATTCCAGGGATCGAGAAAGCCCCTGGATGGGAGAAAGTTGTACGAGCAGAATGAATGAAAAGAGGGGGGACTGGAAGGTTGTCTGTTTCAGTTCTGTGGGCTCGACTGACAGCATCATCATCGTTAGCTTGGGCCATATTGGCAACATCATTAGCTTTTGCATCTAAGGGGCCACCAGTGTTGGACTTCTTCACTCTCGATCCTGCTTTCATGGTCAAGGTTGTTTGATTTGATCGCAACCCAGCCGAGGCAGGGGTAATTGTAGGCGATGGCGATTGGCTTGGTTAAAGGTTTGTTCGAGGTGTGCTTTTCGTAAAACAACCAAGAAAGAATAATAAAACAGTGCCACATCAGCTGCCACATCACCCCCTTCGTTCCCCACCCCGCCCTACACAACCGGTACACTAGCTAGCTAGGAGCTACAGTGGGTAGATGGGGGGTTCCCAATCCCCAAGACTTTGTTGGAAGTTCGACGAAATGTCCACGTACCGCTACATTCGTACTCATTGCAATATTGCTCATTGGCCGTTTCAGATTCTCTCCCTGAGACTCGACTCAAGGTCATTCGATCGAACTATTAATATAACTCTGGGTACAGAGTTTTTACAGTAAAAGAGTTTAAGAGTTAAGAGTGTAGTGAGTGTACGGGTGTACAGAGTGTGACTTTCGATGCTGTTCCGTTTCGTTCGCACGCTCGCCCCTTTCGCACTTTGAGCGGACTGCTCGAGTAGCTACCAGTAGTTACCGGTACCTGGTACCGTACAGTAGACACTTCACAAGATAGGTGAGGCCAAAAATCTTTTGCTTCTACCACTCTCACCAAAACAACTGGCATTGGAAGCCCACAGGAGCGTTCCTCAATCGTGCATGAAACCGACCCTAAAATAGGGTCGGATTTAGGGTCGGATTCCCTTTAGGGTCGGGTTTCGAAACCGACCCTAAAAATAGGGACGTTTTCTGAAAAATAGGGACGGTTTCTGAAAAACCGTCCCTAATTTAGGGTCGGGTTTCGTTTTAGGGTCGGGTTTGAAAAACGTCCCTAAATAGAAACGGGACTGCCTGGTAAATACATTGAAAACGCACCAATATTAGGGTCGGGTTTCGAAACCGACCCTAAAAATAGGGACGTTTTCTGAAAAATAGGGACGGTTTCTGAAAAAACGTCCCTAATTTAGGGTCGGGTTTCATTTTAGGGTCGGGTTTTGAAACCGTCCCTATATTTAGGGACGGATTCCCCAAACCGACCCTAAATTAGGGTCGGATTTAAAGTCATGCACGATTGAGGGACACTCCAGATCACAGCCACAGACCACAGCCACAGACCACAGACCACACAGACGAAACGTTGGCTGCTGCGTACCCGTACGGGCTACGGGACGGTAGCCCCCGATATGCAGGGGTGGGGAGCATAGGCTGCGGCTCGACAACCAAACCACATTGGGAAATTGTTTGATTGAAGAATCGATTCATTCCTACGATGTACCGTTTTCGTGGACTCCAAAAGGGAGCACCAGGTACGGTACTCAACCAAGCCAGTACTGGTATCCAAAAGACCCAACGCAAAGCATACCAGCAGCCTCAGCAGGCAGCAGTTCCAGCTAGCTAGCTAAGGCGGTAGGCTAGCTAGCTAGCTAGCTAGCTAGCTAGCTAGCTAGCTAGCTGCAAGCAGAGAATTTGGGGTTCTTCCCAATCCCAATAGGCATGTAGTGAAAGCTGCATGCAAGGGTGTGATTAAAAAAGAGATCTACAGCTGCAGCTGCTTTTCTCAATAATTCGGCAATAATCTAATGCAACTTTCTCTTTGCCATGGTAACACAATAAATGAATAGAAAGTTGTAGTAGGCAACAACATCGAATATTAATGGGAACATCAAATACTTGGAATTTGAGAATGGTAGTTACTCAACAGCACTGAATCTGACTGCAGTTTGCTGTGATCGAGATGTTGACGATACCAGAGCATATGTCAACAGGTATACTGCCTGTGATGGAAGTCCCAGAGATATCCAAGTACAGCAAGGAAGTCAATAGCAGCAGCTCACTGGGGAGGGTCTCACTCAGAGCAGAATTCTCAGACAGGTCAAGCTCTGTCAACTGGGTCATCAAGCCCAACACTGATGGTATTGTGCCTTCAAAAAATTGTTCCCAAGGCCCAAGTACCTCAAGTTCGTTGCTCCACTTGCTTCCCACAATGGAATGGTTCCTTCAAAGTGGTTCCCAGTCATATTGAGAATCTCAAGGTTTTGAAATCCACCAACAAAATTGAAGTTGTTGGACTTTAGCTGATTAGAATCCACTTTCAAAATTCGGAGGAAACTTGGATCAAAGTCTGCATCCACAAAGGTTGTGGAAAATTCAAAACTATTGTTTGACAATATGATAGCTGGGATTTTGTTTGTCGATGCCAACAGGGGCAACACCCCAGAGATGTGATTGATTGACCACTCCGCCAATTTCACAGTCTCTGGCAGTTGGAGCTCCATTGGTAGGGTGCCGCCAAGATTGTTAGATTGTAGATCTTGAATCACAAGACGCCCATCCTGATCACAGGGAGTTGGGCTTTGTGAGAACCACTCACACTCAGGAACTTCATGGGATAGCCAATTGTCATTTCAAAACCAATTGTCTCCTTCCATTGCATGGTAAATAACAGCCAAGGCAAACCTCTGTATCTTCTGCCACTTGGGATAGGTGTCAAAATATGGATCTTCCCACATCCAATTGTTTGCTCTGGCTTGTGGGCTCGTTGGGTCATCCAGAATTGCCTTGCGCGTGTTTCGATGTAACGTATTGTCAAATGGTGGGTACTGGTGGCTTCTGTTAGTCTCGGCAGCTTCAGAGAATGTACCAATGGCTACAATTGGATCTGATGAACCAGAGCCTTGGTTTGATAGTTGTGATATTACCAGCCAGAGTACCAATCCAACAATCACTGCAATTATCAAAAAGAAGCATAGATTGATGAGAGAGGATGATGATGTTGTTGATTCGTTTCCTTTGCTCCTAATGGACATAACATTCGATGCTTCTGGAAGTTGCACTCGAACTTGTCCTGTTTCTTGTTGTTGTGCTTCCTGATCTACCAAAGTAGCATCCAGAGGACTGCCGAAGTCGTTTTGGTTGTTGGGGAGGCTTGGGTCAGACTGGGAGCTCCTTGTTAGCTCACGACTGCTGGCTCCTCCTATTCCAGGGACCGAGAAAGCCCCTGGATGGGAGAAAGTTGTACGAGCAGAATGAATGAAAAGAGGGGGGACTGGAAGGTTGTCTGTTTCAGTTCTGTCGGCTCGACTGACAGCATCATCATCATTAGCTTGGGCCATATTGGCAACATCTTCAGCATTTGCTTCCAAGGAGCCACCAGTTTTGGACTGATTAGCATTGGCTTCAGAGGCAGCTCCTCTGCTTGACTTATTGGCGCTTGATCCAACTTTCATCATCAGAGATTATATAGCACTGGCTCCTCCAGAGTTGCCCCTTCCTAACAGCTCTTGTGCTCCGCCGACTGCCTGTGTGTTTGTGCAGCAGGACGGAAGAGAAGTAACTGGCTCCTCAAGACACAGAAGACTGACTCGACTCGACTCCCTCCTATTTCACTAAGAGCTCTTTGGCGGCATGTTTGCTTCTTTGTGCTTCGATTGATCAGAAAATAGTCCAGGATCCACGATACTTTGACAATGCGGAAAGTCAGTCAACACGTCAACACTGCAACACTGGAACTCGAAACCTGTTCGAACGAAACAAAAAATAAGTTCCACCGTTTCGCAGGAGACAACCTGTAAAAACAACAATTATGCAAACAGAAAGACCCTCAGTCTACTAGTAGTATTACCGACAGCGGGTCAACAGCACCACAATGTAGCAGGTCCACCCACTTCTGCCAAAAAATTTGGTCATCACCAATGAGGTGGCGGACACGGTATACGGTATACAATGTGCACATGTGGCCAGCCCAAACGGTATACCGTTTACCGCAGTTTTTCTCTTTGATATTTTTGTAAAGAGAATTCAACACGGTTTACCGTGTACCGTTTCAATTATTTTGTGTACTGTTTACCGTTTACCGTTTATCTGTTGTGGCTTTGGGTTGTGCCTTGCTTCTTTGGAGACATTGCAGGAGGGAGGATACCGCGTATCGTATATCGTAAATCAACTTTAAGTTGTAAAACCGTAAACCGTATATCGTACACAGATATTGTCCTCTTTTGAACAAGTCAATGTATGAACGGTAAACGGTAAACAGTAAATTGTTCCCACGATGAACCGTAAACGGTATGGGCAGCAGGAAACTATATTGATCAAACAGTATGCAATACAGTACAGATCAGAATTTGACTTTTACAGTGGAAGCACTTTGAATCAAGCAGCTTCCTCTTGTGGAGTAGTGGTAGATGGTATGACCACTACTAGCTAGTAGTAATCACAAGGAGATGGCAACAACAACAACACTGTTTGCTGTTGATGCAGAGGACTTGTGTTTTTTTCTTCTTCCTCCTTGATTGAGTCACTAGTAGCAAACCAAGATTAAACTGGCTAGCTACATTGTGGTGCTGTTGACCCCTGTCAAAGAAATGATCTACTAGAGTACTCCAGTACTGTCTACAGTACTGAGTAGTGAGTAGTGAGTACCACTCGTCTAGTAGTATACAGTAAAGGTATAACCCCTCTAACAAACCAGGAATACAACCGTGTACATGGAGTACCAGGCTCTACGTGTTACCCTGTCTTTCCCTTTGTTTTGGGTGTTTCTACCTTTCTCGAACATCCATGTTCCAGCGAACGACTGGCTCGCTCACTGGTATCACCGAACGATGGAATCCTGCTTTGAATGGACGAACGGAATCTCCCAGTTGACAGAATCGCAGAAGAAGGTGGAAGAAGAAGAAGAAGAAGTCAATCCAAGCAAAAGATCGCAAGTCCACGAAACTCGCTAAGTCCTGACTACTACTACTAGCTAGCTAGCTACTAGTACGTGATCGGCATTGGCAGAGCGGCAAAGACAAAGTCACTCAGATCACAAACAAGATAACAAAACACAACAAGAAACCGATAATTTCTTAAAACTAAAATAAAATATATAAAATTTGTTTTTGCTATGCCTACAGCAGGATCGCGCTGTAGGCTGGGGACCACCAAGGCAGCTCAACGCAAGTGTGGGTGGAAGCCGGTGGGCTGATTCTTCTTGTCATGCTTGAACTTGTTGATGATCTGGGTGACCGTAAGCCACCCGTAGGTGGCATAGATACGGTCGACCGCAGCCCTCCAATCGAAGCCCTTGGCCATCAACCGAATCACACAGTCCCACACATGCTTGCGGCGGCAGAACTTGTCCTTGACGCGGCCGCGCTCACGAGCAGTAAACTCGCATGCGGCCTTGTTCCCGTTCAGGCCCTTAATCCACTCGTCCCACAACTCGTAGAGGTTGAAAGGCTTCTTCGCAAGCTGTGCTGGGAGGGTAGCGGGTGTCGGGGCCCTTGCGGCAGGAGGACGGGCCAAACGCCCAGGACTCCTCGGTGGTGGTGGGGGAAGTCCTGCGCCACCTGCGCCAGCTGCAGCAGCACCACCACCGCCAGCTCCACCACCGCCGCCAGCTCCACCGGCCGCACCAGGAAGAGGAAGCCTTGGAGCACCGTTGCCACCACCCCTCGCGATCAACTGGAAGTGGTTGATCCTCCCAATATTCTTGTTGACAATGGCAATGTTGGTCGAGACATAGCCCCTCAGGGAGCTGATGTCCTGTGCAAGCATCTGCTGGGCCTCCTCGATCGCCTGCTGAGTCCTATGTTGGAGAGCAAGCAATTGGTTGAGCTGTTCCATGTTGACACCACCAGGAGCACCTCCGACCAAGGGCTCAGCACCAGCTTGGACCTGGGCGGTGGGAGCAAACTCAGTAATGTGCAATGCATTGGCTACCTTGTATATTGTCAGAGGGATCTTCGCCACTGGGTTGTAGTCGGCCCCAGGATCCTCATCCAAAGTGGTTCGAAGCTGGGCATACTCCGTCTGGATGCGGTTGCGAATCTCAGCCGTCATCATATGCTCCAAGCCAGGTTCCATCGGTGTCATCGCAGCCCAACAGCGAAGGCTGGACCAGATCCACCATGCGACTGATTGTTAGCTCTGGAGTCAGTCAGCGAGACAACGTCGCACTCTATACCGGCACTAGACCATTGCTCACCGAAATGAACCCGTAATGGTCAACAACCGCTCGTCGAGCCTTGGTGCCATGATACTGACGGGGCTACCACAACAGCGCGCGTATCGCGCAACCTTTGGCGTCGGTGGTGAAGCGTAGCATTCCAACGTTGATTGTAACATGACGAATTGTCCATACTTTTCTCTCCCTTCCCAGCGCACGCACGAGTCTCGATGTCATCAGGCCATGCAATTCTGAAGCAGAGACCACGATAAATCCCACCACTCAGCAGCGTCTAGGTTGAGAGCAGTCTTGCGCAACACTGATAGCCCGCATCGCAATTCTAAAATTCTAAACCCAGCGGATACTCGAGGCTTCCCTGGACGGCTTGAAAGCGGCAAGACGTCCACGACTCCCAGGTCCTTCCCAAGCCTTCTTCAAATTCCCGTTGTCGAGGTTCACCCAGGCGTCATGACCTCGGTCAGGCTCCGATTTCAAAATCGTCGTACTCATCCGAGGCCTCTTTCGTTCCATTGTCACAGAGCTTCGATGGCGGCCAGGAACACTTCTTCATCATCGACACGGTAATGGCCAAACAGAAAATTGGGATCACCGTGTCCCCTCTCAAGAAGAGTCTCGATCCAAATAGCCAAGGCAATCAGGACGCAAAAATCAGTGTCGGCGGCACCCAGCAGGATTTGGTTCGGGCAAGCACGCTCCTCCTGGACATTCTTGCTCCAGGATACCTTGTTTTCAAAAGCGAAGTTTGGAAATTGGAGTGGTGCGCAGATCACAAAACGTTCTCCATGTTGGATCAAATCATCAGTGCCGGCCAATCAAGTGACTGAAGCTTCAACTGGTTTGGCATATCATTCGATCGTCCGTGTCGAATACTTCGCTTCCAAAGTCCATCCGAATTACACAACATGTGAAATGCTTACCTTGCGGATATTCCCGATCTT